GGGGACATAATCTACCGAGACCGTGTTTTCATGGTAACCTACAAACAACAAGGGGGGCGACCAATTATCGCACCACCCTTCCTGACAGGTACACGTGTCTCTAGAGCAGGTGTGAGTGTTTATGTCCCTCGGGGCACTATAATGCACTACCTGCTTAATGCAGTGTACCTTATCTAGAGATGCTCTAAACCAAGCATTACTATCCCCTACTGGTTGTGCAAAAGCAAGGGTGCTCAGATCCCTGTCTATAGCCTTATCTGCTCCATACTTATCCACGTAATTAGTCGCAGACACAGACACAGAGGCAGGTACTATCTCACCTGGTACCTCTGGTCTTAGAGCACCTGAAGTAGTGAACACTTTAAGAGATTATCACATTATAATTTATACCATTTCCAATCAGTCAAATTAAAGAAATAGTGTTGATTTGACTAAATTATAAAAACCTGAATTATATAATTACATATGTGTAATATGTATCCTGATTGATCAATTGGTTTACTAACTCAAACCGAATGAAGTTGCTGTATAACCTCGTTAAAATTCACCTGATTACTATAATAAAGCGACGCAGCGGACCTCGTTGTAACGCGGTATTTGGGGTTTCCTCCCTCTTTTACAATGTAATATGCAAAATGAAAATAGTACATAAAGTTACAATTTTAAGTTTGTGATAAACTTAAATTTGCACTTTGTAGTATGGATTTGTACATGACAAAGCTCTTTCAGTATAAAATAGCATCAAGAGAATATGTGCACCAAACACTGACCTTACATAATATGTGTTTAACTCTACAAAACTGCTTATAAGTGACAATTTGCCTTCAAGATCAAACCTCGTTAAAATGCAGACCTTGCTATAACGCGGTTTTTTGGGCTAAATTCGTTCCTCCCTCGATGCGCGTTATAACGAGGTAAGCTACTGTAATACTTATTAAAATTGAAATTTATCATTAAATTAAATTTATCCTTACCTTTAACTTTAAGAATAAGGGGTAACCAAAGCAAAGTCGTAATAATGATCAACGTCGTTTTCATGTTCTGGCTTCTGATATATTAATTTTTTAATGTATGTAGTTTATTAGGACTGATAAATCAAATATAACAATAAAAATATTTTTACCTTAAATATTAAATGTGACAAAAATGTTTTATTAATGTTTGATAATCTCATATCAGCGGACTTCGAAGACTTAAAAATATTTGACAGAATCTAAAAGATTTTTAATCGACTGAATGATCCCTATAATTCTGTAACGACATCACCGCGTGGAATTGATTAGGGACATGATTGATGTCCCTGGAAGTGTGGAACTGGACACCTTATAGATAGATAAAATAAAACTATATGGAAAAGACAATAAACTTTGATTATATATTGAGCACAGATTTGTGAAATATTAAAGTCTGTCTCTAAAAATATTATTTTTCACCATAAGTTCTTACTTAAAGTTAAACAAGAGAAATAATGGTAAGAACTAATGGTAAAAAGAAGACTTTTATAAGCTCCCCGACGCGATACACGAGGCCAGGATGGCGTTAACCCTTAAAGTTTATGTGCAGCCGGCATCAATCGAATAATTTGTACGCTGTTCAGTGTTCAAGATATGAGAGCGTGCAAAAGAAAACCCTGACCCTAACCCTTAAATAGTGTACTGATCTACAAGAAAAGGACCGAGGTGATCTTTGTGTGTCACGTGTACCCATTGCCTTGCAACCGCCTTTGACCTGATGCCTCTTACGAGGTTCTTCGATAAGCTGGTAACTAATGCACGATTAAGCTCGTGAGTTGGGACAGCCTAATGATTTGTGAAAGAATCAGGTCTCATCTCCTAGTACTGTAGGTTTGAATATTCATCGTTACTAGAAAATTTGGGCCAGTCAAGTGGTCTGTGAAAGAATCAGGTCTCATCTCTTAGTACAGCAGATCTAAATATATGAATATTTATTCTTACCAGAAAACCCGGCCGAAGAGCTTTGCAGTACATGGCATGCGCCATGCAATAAAAAAGGTGAGGGATCGTGAATGGTGCAGATAAAGATCATTTAAAGATTTAATGATATCATGCTCACAAAATACTTACAGCCCGTGAATTTTGAAATTCTGACTGGACCGAAATTTATTACCGAGAGTTTATCAATATCATCTTCGCAAAAACCATACTTTGTGAATCTGTATAACCTTATAACTGGTTAACTGGACAAAGGAACAAACAGTGCAGTTAGATAATAGTGCAATTAAGGGAGCGCACAAGAAATTCCATGTGAGTTTTAATCGTTTCCTATATAACCGCGTCATTCTATTCACTACATTCGGCTCATTAGGTGATTATAGGACCGAGCTGCTAATAATCTTGATCGCCTCTTCCAGGGATTCTCCAGTCCAAGTCAGCGTCCCTCGAATTCACCGCGAGCTATTACGATTTTTCGTGGAAGAGGCTGATATTTGCAGAGTGCAGTAATGAAAACCGATTAAACCCGCCTGGACAAAGGGACACGCAGTGCTGTTAGGAAATAGTGAACTGAGATGTTTTATACAGATTTATAGTATATATTTTGTGCGAAGACGGTAAATTCTTGTCAATATAATTTGGTCCAGTCAGTTATTAACGAACTTCTTTTTATAACAACTCTACTGCAACTTAGAACGACAATTCATAAGCCGTTTTTTAATAATTAGAAGAATGGGAATTTCTAAGGTAGATGGATGTGAGTGTAATCATTTGTACGGAACAACACATATCATTAAAATTATTGCAAACTAAAACTTTTATAAATTTCTGAGTAACATTTTGGTAAATACAATTTTTCCTACCCAAATTTGATTTTCCTCAGGTATCCCTCAAAACGACCACTGCAGAGTCACGCCCTGAAAATCCTCTCAGTCCTCGCGTTCCTTTAAATTCTACTTGGAGTTAATCGAGATCTTCCTATGGCTAACGACTATACGAACAGGCGCAGGCTCACTTGCAGTACTTTGAATAAATACGCTAAGCTCGCAGCAGCCCGGCTAATACTCGTGGTGCCCTAAACGGTGCTTTTTGTTCTTTTCTTTTCAACCTGTTGAATATAAAGATGACTTAGTCTGTTTGTAATCCCGTATGAGATGAAAAAGGACAAACAGGGTTGGTAAGTTTAACAAGAATTAGAGTGACTGCAATAGATATAGTATGTATTCTCTTAGCCCAATGGTCCTAGTGGCAAGTTACTGAGGGCATGGTGAATCGTTTTACCATTGAATTCAGAATCTAGTCTCTTACTTTGTGGCTTCTATGGAAATCTAGAAATAAACGGACAATGAACTATTGGAGCTGAGAAAGGAGTGACAGTTACATTACGATAACTCCATAGTAATTACAGAAGTACCTTGCTATAAGTAAAACGCGCCTCGCTATAACACGGGCCGAAAAGAAATACAGTGGCCACAGTCCACTCTACCCAATTTTGGGGTTTGGTAAAAACAATCACAGAACCTTAAATATTACTCAAATATAATATACTTGTTTGTTGCAGATTCTCTGGCGAAGTAATTAAATGAAGAGAACAAGTTAGAATTTGACAAGATAAGCAAAGGTTGCTGGAAGAGCATTTTGGTCGGTTTTGTGGCAATTGTGTAATTGTGAATTGTGTTTAAAGTGTTTTATGTTTTATTGGGCTGTATGGGATGTGATTAAAACTTTCTTTTAAGGAATACTCCTAGCTAACTACCTTATCGAACCTTATTTGGACGGACATTAATTGAACGCTGGAGGCCCTAACGTTCATTTTAATGTCCGTTCAAATAAAGTCCGTTCATTTAAGGTCCGTCCAAGTTAAAGTCCGTTAAATGTTTTTCAAAAATTCTAACTCTTTGTCCAGAATATGACAACTATGACAACCTTATTGTGCAGTAAGTTAACGACGGAAAGGTTCTCCTTGGTCTGCCGGAGGCACAAAAAACTTTACTGGTATATGATGTTTTCAAGGGTCACTTGGCGGAAAAAGTCAACGAAATTATGACACTCACAGACATAATTCATGAGCTAGTCCCCGCCAACATGACAAACTTGTTCCAGCCTTTAGATATTACGGTAAATTGTGTTGCCAAGGACATTGTCCGACGTTGTTATAGTTCATATTACTCAGGGGAGGTAATGAAACAGTGCTAGGAAAGCTCCACGTGATGTTAAGGTTAACCTAAAGTTGTCTAAGATAAAAACCACTTCATGCCGAATGGCTTGTAATAGTTAACACTGAAATGCAGGACCGGGGTAGTTTGATGAAAAAAGCTAGAAATCACTGATGCTTTGAGCATGGACTATTTAGTATTTCATGCACGAAAACCCATTTGATGAACATGATATGTGATATTAGACACTGATCATGTATACACATTTTAAAATGTCTACTGCTTAACGACTGCTTTTCTTACTTACTGTATAAAAAATGGATTTAAAAATCATTTGCTGAAATATTTTTTGATGGCTTTGAATGCCTTCTAGCGTTCATATTAATGTCCGTTCATAATTACGTCTGTTCATTTAACTAGCAGGAACCCGTCTAACCCTAAAGTGGTGTCAAGACTCGAGAGACTAAAATAATTATTACCTATTTAATTCGCGTTTTTGACACCACTTGGGAGTCCAAATTTTGGGCACTAAAATTATTATTCCTTGGCCAATTTTTTATTTTTTCATGCTGATTTGAAGGCCATTAAAGCATTTGACCCAGTCAAAAAAGTTTCAGTAATATATCTTTTACGGTTTTTGCGGAAAGTTGCGTTAAAGTTGATGCCGTGGTGTCAGTAAAATGGCATGGATATATACATACATATATATCGTCTCGCTTTATATATAGTAAGATGTCCGTCCAAATAAGGTCCGATAAGGTATGTCAAATTTAAGTATAAGACTGGATCTGGAAAAAACATTTTAGAGTCTATGAAATAATTTCCACCGCCATTTTGATGAGCTGTTCATCCTGCACCTTTTGAACATCCTCGATTTGCTTTTATCTCAAAAATGGCGAACTGGAGGTCAGATTCACAAAGTGTCATTGGACAATTCAGTGCTACTTCAGCTAGTGAGTTATGTCAAATTTAAGCTAGTTGGTTTCAACTGTCGGGGGCCCTTTTAGAACAATCTCGAAGATCTACTGTAGAGTGATTTAGCATGCTCGCTCGAGGCACTCTCGAGGCACTGTCACGGCACGTACTTTTGAGTCTTGAGGCACTGTCACACTAACTCTAGCTGGTAACTCTAGCTGGCCCTGATAGACTATTCGAAACCCTAATTAACCCTCTTAGCAATAGCTGATCTCAACCCTAACTTTAACCCAATCCCTAAGTCTAACAAAAGCATATATGTTGAAATCCTAACCCTAACGATAAATTCGACCAGCTTTCTTATAGTTATACGGTTATTATATCACGTGATCAAGACAGTTTTTAGTTAATCTGATCATGATTTAAACAATTGACATTGTTGCGCGCGGTGGTGAACTGTTCAAGTACAATTACATTGTTAATTTCACCATGAACCATCCCGCTAGGGACTAATTGATATAGATAACATATTATTATTATTTTGAGTTAGTATTTATATTACTATTTTGCACAGATCCGTGTCAGGTTGCATAAACAATAAACATATGGTTACATAAAAATATACACGATTTTCAAATTCAATATGGAATTATATTAACTGGGCGGTGCTCGGCCTGTCACTCCGCCTTATCTGCATGCTTATAAACAGTAAAAACTGTTACCTGGGGACCCCAGGCTATTATGTTCATAATCATAATAAAGATTCGCGTCGCGTCCGCGTCGTCGGCGGAATGACAGGCTGAGCGCCGCCCAGTAATAAATACTGGGGTCCCAAGGTGGTATGGAATATGGTTAAAAAATTCGCGGTCATCGGATCGGGAAATTGAGCGGCCATCCACAAAAGAAAAGGGGCCGCATTTTTTACATCAACTGTTTTTTTCTTTAAAAAGGCATTAGATGTATAGGAGTGGAAGGAATTGAGAATGGGTATAGTAGGTAGATAAGTTTTTCGTACGGTGTCAGGTGTCACAAAGCAAAACATGCATAACCCTCCGCATACGTTATTTTAATGCATATTCTCCGCGCGCAGAGCAGTTATGGTCTCGTCGCCATGGTTACCCTCCGCATACGTTTGCACGATTTGACGATCGATCGAATTATATTACAGTTTCAAATGCGCGGCGCCAAGCAAACAATTTGAATTCTATGTTAATTGATTTAGATAACAAGCGATTTCCCGGATCTTATACATGTGTTAAGTAACACAAGCTTTTCTTTACTTGATCATTGATCATGATGCGGTACAATACATACTAACTTCTCGTTTTGTTGTGAGTGCTTGGTGTAACTTGACGGATGTTACTCGTCTAAATTTCTTCGAAGTAGCGCGCGCCGCTTTCTTCTCGATGGCACGAGCTACGAAGTAGCGCGCGCCGGGCCAGATCATTAACAATGGTCAAGGTGTAACCACCGACTTGGTTCCCGATAATGTCAATGATATAATATAAGTAATCCGTTATATTGTTGAACAAATTATGATGCTGATATTATGTTGAACACGATTGTCGAGTGATTGATTTGTTATACGAAATGGACCATAAATGTTATTATGAGTTGCATTACCTACGACGGATTTCACGACTACCATTTTATTTAATCTAACAACTTATGTAAACTTGTAAACAACTATTCTTAATTCACATGGCTTTTGTTCTTCAAATTTTTAACTGCGTATCACCACACAGGCGCAGGCTATGGTGTCCGGTCATTTAACTTTTTAAATTTGAATTATTGACAATGGCAACCCCTCGATTATGTGTTTCGTAGCGCCCCAAGAATTGTTAAAAAATAACCATTTGCATTATTTAGTATTTTGACCAACATGAAACTATCGTTAATTGTAATTTTAAATTTTAAAAGGCATGGCAATCACTACGGTTGATGGAAATCTAGCGTCCGCTAACCGGCGCAATTCTTGTTTGTTTTATAACTGCTATTAAAATATTATTGCGCTATTAAAATAGCGCAGTGCCGTGTCCACGCGCGCGCGGCATAATTCTATCGTACACACCTATGGTAACTTTTTTTTGGATCATAATAAAGTTTGCGCGTGTCACAAATACGGTTTTCCTAATTGCGACCGATTAAAACGACGCCACATGAATGGGCGGTAGTTCCAGGTATTATGTCATCATGATAATATTATGTTTTGAACGGTTTGAGCTGAAACTAAAATTCATTAAAATCTTTGGAGTCATTTTTATTAAGCGATCAAACTTCAGTCCACCACTAACATGACATTGCAGAGAAGAACTCGACCCAATCAGCTGCTACAATGTAAGAAGTGAGAGATGATCAGTTATCAGACGGATTTAAAACATTTACTTGGCTCAGGTTCTTACTTGACTTAAGAAAGGAGGAACCTTAACGAATTTTTTTAGCGGATTTTACAATTTTCGAAATGTGTGTTGAGGAACCTTTCTTAATTTCCAGGTTTTATTTTATGGTCTGCTTAAAGACCTATTAGCATAAAGACCATCAAATCTATATTTATAACATATTATCTCTCTGATTAGCACCATTTGAAACATTTGATATTGGTTTCTAACGTTTCAGATGTAAAGATGCGTGGTCGTTTAATTATCACAACAACAAAAACGAGGAGATTTAAATTTTAAAATCAATAAAATTTCATAAGATTTTTAAATTGAAAAGTGCATTAATTATAGTCAGGCAATGATCTTATCTTAGGAAATCTAAAAAATCTGTCTTCAAAAAGTTAAAATGATCGCTCAATCAGTCAGTCAAAAGTTATAAAACATATAAGTACACTAAATATTCAAATTCGAATAATAACTAACACAGTTTAGAAGTTTGCTCTGCAAGTGAACACTGATTGTGTAAACACACGTAACTCCGTATAATCATGCGTGCTAACTTCATTACATGTATATGCAAACTATTATATTATCGTCATAATACTATCTGTAAAACTGTCTTCTTATAACTGTATAACTTTCAAACCAGCACAGAATCCTCATCACTATCCCCCACACTCAAACCAGCACAGAATCCTCATCACTATCCCCCACACTCAAACCAGCACAGAATCCTCATCACTATCCCCCACACTCAAACCAGCACAGAATCCTCATCACTATCCCCCACACTCAAACCAGCACAGAATCCTCATCACTATCCCCCACACTCAAACCAGCACAGAATCCTCATCACTATCCCCCACACTCAAACCAGCACAGAATCCTCATCACTATCCCCCACACTCAAACCAGCACAGAATCCTCATCACTATCCCCCACACTCAAACCAGCACAGAATCCTCATCACTATCCCCCACACTCAAACCAGCACAGAATCCTCATCACTATCCCCCACACTCAAACCAGCACAGAATCCTCATCACTATCCCCCACACTCAAACCAGCACAGAATCCTCATCACTATCCCCCACACTCAAACCAGCACAGAATCCTCATCACTATCCCCCACACTCAAACCAGCACAGAATCCTCATCACTATCCCCCACACTCAAACCAGCACAGAATCCTCATCACTATCCCCCACACTCAAACCAGCACAGAATCCTCATCACTATCCCCCACACTCAAACCAGCACAGAATCCTCATCACTATCCCCCACACTCAAACCAGCACAGAATCCTCATCACTATCCCCCACACTCAAACCAGCACAGAATCCTCATCACTATCCCCCACACTCAAACCAGCACAGAATCCTCATCACTATCCCCCACACTCAAACCAGCACAGAATCCTCATCACTATCCCCCACACTCAAACCAGCACAGAATCCTCATCACTATCCCCCACACTCAAACCAGCACAGAATCCTCATCACTATCCCCCACACTCAAACCAGCACAGAATCCTCATCACTATCCCCCACACTCAAACCAGCACAGAATCCTCATCACTATCCCCCACACTCAAACCAGCACAGAATCCTCATCACTATCCCCCACACTCAAACCAGCACAGAATCCTCATCACTATCCCCCACACTCAAACCAGCACAGAATCCTCATCACTATCCCCCACACTCAAACCAGCACAGAATCCTCATCACTATCCCCCACACTCAAACCAGCACAGAATCCTCATCACTATCCCCCACACTCAAACCAGCACAGAATCCTCATCACTATCCCCCACACTCAAACCAGCACAGAATCCTCATCACTATCCCCCACACTCAAACCAGCACAGAATCCTCATCACTATCCCCCACACTCAAACCAGCACAGAATCCTCATCACTATCCCCCACACTCAAACCAGCACAGAATCCTCATCACTATCCCCCACACTCAAACCAGCACAGAATCCTCATCACTATCCCCCACACTCAAACCAGCACAGAATCCTCATCACTATCCCCCACACTCAAACCAGCACAGAATCCTCATCACTATCCCCCACACTCAAACCAGCACAGAATCCTCATCACTATCCCCCACACTCAAACCAGCACAGAATCCTCATCACTATCCCCCACACTCAAACCAGCACAGAATCCTCATCACTATCCCCCACACTCAAACCAGCACAGAATCCTCATCACTATCCCCCACACTCAAACCAGCACAGAATCCTCATCACTATCCCCCACACTCAAACCAGCACAGAATCCTCATCACTATCCCCCACACTCAAACCAGCACAGAATCCTCATCACTATCCCCCACACTCAAACCAGCACAGAATCCTCATCACTATCCCCCACACTCAAACCAGCACAGAATCCTCATCACTATCCCCCACACTCAAACCAGCACAGAATCCTCATCACTATCCCCCACACTCAAACCAGCACAGAATCCTCATCACTATCCCCCACACTCAAACCAGCACAGAATCCTCATCACTATCCCCCACACTCAAACCAGCACAGAATCCTCATCACTATCCCCCACACTCAAACCAGCACAGAATCCTCATCACTATCCCCCACACTCAAACCAGCACAGAATCCTCATCACTATCCCCCACACTCAAACCAGCACAGAATCCTCATCACTATCCCCCACACTCAAACCAGCACAGAATCCTCATCACTATCCCCCACACTCAAACCAGCACAGAATCCTCATCACTATCCCCCACACTCAAACCAGCACAGAATCCTCATCACTATCCCCCACACTCAAACCAGCACAGAATCCTCATCACTATCCCCCACACTCAAACCAGCACAGAATCCTCATCACTATCCCCCACACTCAAACCAGCACAGAATCCTCATCACTATCCCCCACACTCAAACCAGCACAGAATCCTCATCACTATCCCCCACACTCAAACCAGCACAGAATCCTCATCACTATCCCCCACACTCAAACCAGCACAGAATCCTCATCACTATCCCCCACACTCAAACCAGCACAGAATCCTCATCACTATCCCCCACACTCAAACCAGCACAGAATCCTCATCACTATCCCCCACACTCAAACCAGCACAGAATCCTCATCACTATCCCCCACACTCAAACCAGCACAGAATCCTCATCACTATCCCCCACACTCAAACCAGCACAGAATCCTCATCACTATCCCCCACACTCAAACCAGCACAGAATCCTCATCACTATCCCCCACACTCAAACCAGCACAGAATCCTCATCACTATCCCCCACACTCAAACCAGCACAGAATCCTCATCACTATCCCCCACACTCAAACCAGCACAGAATCCTCATCACTATCCCCCACACTCAAACCAGCACAGAATCCTCATCACTATCCCCCACACTCAAACCAGCACAGAATCCTCATCACTATCCCCCACACTCAAACCAGCACAGAATCCTCATCACTATCCCCCACACTCAAACCAGCACAGAATCCTCATCACTATCCCCCACACTCAAACCAGCACAGAATCCTCATCACTATCCCCCACACTCAAACCAGCACAGAATCCTCATCACTATCCCCCACACTCAAACCAGCACAGAATCCTCATCACTATCCCCCACACTCAAACCAGCACAGAATCCTCATCACTATCCCCCACACTCAAACCAGCACAGAATCCTCATCACTATCCCCCACACTCAAACCAGCACAGAATCCTCATCACTATCCCCCACACTCAAACCAGCACAGAATCCTCATCACTATCCCCCACACTCAAACCAGCACAGAATCCTCATCACTATCCCCCACACTCAAACCAGCACAGAATCCTCATCACTATCCCCCACACTCAAACCAGCACAGAATCCTCATCACTATCCCCCACACTCAAACCAGCACAGAATCCTCATCACTATCCCCCACACTCAAACCAGCACAGAATCCTCATCACTATCCCCCACACTCAAACCAGCACAGAATCCTCATCACTATCCCCCACACTCAAACCAGCACAGAATCCTCATCACTATCCCCCACACTCAAACCAGCACAGAATCCTCATCACTATCCCCCACACTCAAACCAGCACAGAATCCTCATCACTATCCCCCACACTCAAACCAGCACAGAATCCTCATCACTATCCCCACACTCAAACCCACAAATTTCCTCACCTTCCCCCCACTCAAAACCGCCAGAATCCTCCCTTTTCCCCCCACCCAAAAAAACCGAATCTCACACTATCCCCCCCCTCAAAAAGCACAAATCCCCCTATCCCCCAAACCCCCAAACCAGCCAGACCTTTATACTATCCCCCACCAACCCCCAAAGAATTCATCATACCCCCAAAATCAAACCCGCACAGAACCTCTACTTCCCCCCCCTCAAAACCGCACGCCCATCACTTTTCCCCCCCCCAACCAGCACAGAAACCCCATCCTTCCCCCACATCAACCCCCACCCCTCCCTCATCCCCTTCCCCACATAAACCGCCAGAATCCTATCATATCCCCAACCCAAAACCCGCACAGAACCCAATCACACCCCCCCAAATCAAAAACACGAAAAAAAACTATAATCCCCCACACAAACCCACAGAATCCTCTCACTATCCCCCCCCTCAAACCCCAAAAAATCCATCATATCCCCCCCTCAACCCGCACAGAATCCTACATATCCCCCCCACTCAAACCCCACAGAATCCCTCACATCCCCCCCCTCAACCGCACAGAAACCCCTCTATCCCCCCCAAATCAAAACCCCACAGAATCCTATCATATCCCCCCCAATCAAAAAGCCAGAATCTATCACTTCCCACACTCAAAAACCGACAGAATCCCCATCACTATCCCCCCCCACTCAAAGAAAAAACCTACCTATCCCCCACCCTCAAACCCCGAAAGAATCCCCTCACTTCCCCCCACTCAAAAAAGCACGAATCCCTCCACTATCCCCCCCCTCAAAAAAGCACGAATCCTCATCATATCCCCACACTCAAACCAGACGAACCTCTCCTAACCCCCAACCAAAAAGCAAGAAACCCATCACATCCCCACTCAAAAAGCACAGAATCCCCATCATATCCCCCACCTAAACCAGCACGAATCCTCATCACTTCCCCCCCTCAAAACCCCCCAACCCCTAATCCCCACACTA